GTCTTCGGTAGTATAGTTGTAAGTATTCCATCCTTCACGCAGGTGACCGGTGTTCGATTCCCCGCTAGGTGATAATTGTTCTTTTTCCCTTAAAAGGGTGGTTGCCATGTTGTGTTGTGGGTTACAGCTAGGCTGTGATATCTGCGCCTTTCGCCCAAAGACATTCGATTTCAGTTAAGTCCCAATTAGCCTCCCTGCGACGCTTTGGCGATGACAGAAACTGTTAACTAAGAAGGCTTACAGTCCAGTTTAGTTTGGGTGGACACGGATGCCAAGGTCATATAAAAATCGTTCCTTTGGAGAGGGAGAGATGACGGGTGCGGGGTATTTTTCTCCGCTATTCGTGAGTATAGTGTACTTTTTACTGTGGGTTCCATCACTGGTTACGTGATTAAATTTTTTTGTTCTATGTCAGGGGCAACATTAAACTAAACAGTCCGTGGCAACAGCATGCGGCGCTAACTCCTCTTTTCTACACCTACCTACACAGACTGTAGTAACAGTTTTTGTTGTTGTTGTTGTGATGGTGGTGGTGGTAGTGGTTGCAGTAGTACTGGTGCTGGATGGGTGATGTGGTAGCTGTTACACTGGCCACATTTACTTCTCATTACAAGTTAATGCTACCTTTTTAAGTCTGGGTGGACACGGATGCCAAGCTCAATTTAGTTACAATATTTCGTCACATGGTGACTTTCCCATCCTTCAGAGAGGATGATATGATTGGGGGGGGGGGGGGGGGGGGGGGGGGGGTTATGCCAGACACAGTTAGCTGAGAGAGCTTAAAATATTATTTTAAAGTTATCATTTCTTAACTATTTCTATTTTAATAATTTTGCCAGGTGATGATTTTTCAATCCTTCGGAGAGGGAGATATGACTGGTGAAAAAAAAAAAAAAAGGGGGGGGGGGGGGGGGGGGGGGGGTTATGCCAGACACAGTTAGCTGAGAGAGCTTAAAATATTATTTTAAAGTTCTCATTTCTCAAGTATTTCTTTTTTTTTAACTTCGTCAGGAGATGATTTTTCAATCCTTCAGAGAGGGAGATATGATTGGGGAGGGGGGAGGGGGGAGGGGGTTAGGGGGGGGGGGGGGGGGGGGTTAAGCCAGGCAGGCTTAGTTTATAGAAAACAAGCACATCAATGGAAATAAGATGTCAGCGACACATTAGAAATGAAAATGCATGAGGCATGGGAATTGGCAAGGGACACTGTGTCCAGTGGCAAAATATGGGATTAGTTGTCCACAACAGATTAGCTACAAGATTAGGATAATCTTTATGAGTATACAAATCACAGAGAGAAGAACCTGGCAATAAACTCTCATCTTTATTACGAGTTAAGAAACATTCTAATATATTGTTGTATTCCATCAGCATGATTAGGAGCCCCTTCCCCCCTCCATTTATGATTATCATTCTCAAAATTTCTTGAGGGCTCAGAGATGTGGTTTTACAGAGGAATGCTTAAAATACCTTGGACAGCCAAAAAAGAGCAACCAAGAGGTTTTGAAAGAGGCGGGAGCCCGAAGACAACTTATCACAGACATCAGAAGGAGACAGACATTTTTTTTCAGCCATGTTAGGGGAAGAGGAAAAATAGAACATGTTGTGACCACTGGAAATATCTGTGGAAGAAGGGATAGAGGAAGACAATGAGAGAAGATTCTTGACAGTCTTGTTGCATGGCATGGAGGTGTATCAGCACATGAACTGATACATGCTGCAGGAGATCGCAGATTGTGGAGAGGCATGATCGCCCATGCGAGTAAGCAAGGCACCTGTTGATGGTGATGATTCTCAAAAGGGTGCGATTTCTTCCGCGCTTACCCTTGAAAAGCCGGGTGGCCTGTAGTATTCTTGTTTACAGCTAGGCTGTGATATTTGCACCTTTTAACCCACAGCATCAAATTACAGCAAACAAATAATTAGTCATATGTTATGACATGCATCATTGAAGATTCTGCAATTTAACAAATTTTCATTTCTGCTCATTATAAAAAATACAGTTTTAAATTTAAAAAATAAACTTGGAATAAGTTAGACATTGTCAAGTAGAATATTTAAATATTAAAGTCAGTAACAAGCACACAAAATGTTTTTAGAAATATTTACATTTTTCTTGTGTTTTAAAACAAAAACATTTGTCAAAAGTCAGATTGACCTATTGCACCAGACTTTATCTCATATGACTTGGTCCCTCTCTCACTTTCCCTCCACACAGTGTGTGTATTTTTTTCCCATGTAAATTTGAAGGCAAGCATTTGTCATCTACGCTTTTGTATTTTTTTAAAATCTACATTCATGCTATAAATTTTGATATGTTAACTCTTTGAGTCCCAGATGGTTTAGCATCACAGGCCCAGGGGGTAGTAAAAAAGTAATAAAATCGGCGCATCATGCCTTCATTGGGCTTCTAGGTAGGAACCTATAAACGAATGATGCGTTCCTTGGGACTCAAAGAGTTCATATAATATGCCTGATACACAAAATTATGACTGCAGTGTGAAAGATGAGTGTTTGAGAGGGTGAATGTAAGACAAGCAGTGGCTGGCTGCTATCATTAGTTTCAACAGTGGTATCGAGAGCTGGCCATTTAGAAAGCCATGGCAAGGTGCTGAATGTAAAACTGCCAAGTAAAACCACAAACAGCCAAAATATGCTGAGTTCAATTCTGCAATGTCCTGCAGCTATCTAATTAATGGCATATGGGTCTATCTACCATCCCCCACCTCCATCACACCCCTCCCCCGGCCCTCACTCCAATTAGGGCTCCAGAACCCATATGGGAATTGTTTTGTATTCAAAAACATAATCTTTAGAGGCCATTAGGCAAAAGTGCTAGCTACTGCACCACTGATCCCAGCCAACACATGAGACGGGCAGATACCATTTTAGTGACTAGGTATCTAAGGAATAAGATGAACTCTACACCTTGGCAGAGCTGGGTTCTCACGGGTTCTGATAGCTAAAAACTTCTTCTGTTGGTCTGATTGACTGACTTTCTACCCCACTAGGACATCACACAAGCGATAAACACCTGATAACACAAAGTGCCACCATGTGGATGAGGATCGCTGTGGAGAGGTCCCAGAAACCGTGTTCAGACAATTGGCCAAATCTATGGCCTGCCTTTATTGTGGCCCCTGGCAAAAGCCAGGGTGGGGCTTCAAAAAACAAAAAGTTTCGTCCTAAAAAGGACGAATCTGAATATATTGAAACATATTGGTCTGATTGGTTTAATATGCTCATTTATTAGCTGTGTTGCCTCTATGAACTGGCATGTCAGTAGCATGTCTCCAAGGGTTTCCCAAAGCTAGTCCTGTATGCTTCTTCCCTCTGGCCAAGTGTTTTCTTACAGGTTTTGTTTTAGTGGGCAGTTTTCCAGTTTGTGCTCAAGTGCGGTTTGGCAAGGACACTGGGCAGTTTGTAAAACCTTTATCCTGTGTATGTTTGAATTAATTCTGCAGTGTTCTGTTCTTAGCCAATAAATTATGGTCTATTACCTTCTATTTAGTCTGCTGATTGGGTCATCTGGATGTTTGCTGTTTGCCTCCAGAAGTTACTGTACTACTGCTGGATCAGTGTTGGGATATGGAATGAAAGACTTGTTTTACCTGTGTTACCTTTTTTGGTCAGTCTATCTGCAGTCTCATTTCCTGCTATGAAACAATTGTCTGGGAGCCACTGTAGCACAACCTGGTTGCTCTCTGAAAGTTTGTAAAGTTTGTAGATCATCCCCCATTCCAAATTACATTGTGGTTCTCTTTGTGCAGTCTTGTCTCCAAGGGCTGACATAGTCACAAGATTGAGTCTTTGATGTTTTATTCCTCAAGCAGCCTTGCTAACAGCAGGAAAATGATTCCTGTCAAAAATTAGGGATTAAAAAAAAAAACCATCCATGTGAATGTGGAAGTTAAAGGAAAACCATAAAATCTGTCCAGTAAAATTTATGAGCGTGTCACAAAATTGGAATGATAGATCAACGTATTAAGAAACTTCACACCAGTCTTTCTGTTGAACAAACTGGTATGATATATACCCTGCATACAATATTAACTATGCAGAATCTTTGACAATGCTCACCTACTAGATCAGGGCTTTACAAACTGTGTGTTGTGATACATGAGTGGGTCAGCTGCAGTGTGAAGGTGTGATGCATGAACATCAAACAATAAAGAGAATATCTGGCAGCAGTGACATCAACGCTAATGTATACAGCTATTCTATTTGACTGCACATAATATATATCTTACCAGGAGTTAGTTTAACCTCTGATTTGCTAGTAGACTTAATTATTGTGTCATGATTTCTGACCTCCAGCCAAATATGGAGGACTCGACATGAGAGAATATTCAGCTTTGAAGTTTTTTTGTTGCTTTGACAGAACTTTGATAATGCAGTTTCCACATATGGAGGGAAGTCTACAGTTTCAATGCTTAAGCTACTGTTAAATGATTGGTGCAGCACTGTGAGCTGTGTTTTTCATGTGGAATGTCTTTCAACTGTTCAGTGGTTGAGTTATGGTAATAAATATGACGGGTAGCCAGTTTACTGTGGACTGACGACATTTCTTTTAAAATAATTTATGTGTCTATAGCCAACTTATCATGACTTACATCAAAGACAAACTGCATTTCTGGAGGGTGACTGTTGGCTTTGGCATCTCTAGCAACAACCTCATGCATTTACTGTGTGTGCATACTTCTGGATTGTGCTGGGACTAATTGTTTGTTCACCAGTTTTTGCAATAAGACAGTGAGGGACATTTCATTAGATTTTCACTGGCCCAGGAATGGAGCAAGTCTGGGCTGACCCTTTTGCAGTGAAGTTGAAACCTTGACTAAGACCAAGATGAAATTATGTTTCTGTAAGAAGTGTAACATCAATCTGAACAATTTTGACAGTTCTGTAATAGATATTCAAAACAGCCAGAATGTTACACTTAAATACTACATTCACTTCAATATCTGAGAATTTGTTTATGTGTACTGCTATCACAGAGGTCACAATATTGAACACGTCCGAGACCGCGGCTTGCCATTAACAGATTGTGCATTCCCCCCTAGTGTAATCCGTCTAAACTGTTTTTTTTCGAGGACCGAATTTGAACTTGATTCTTTCTTCTCATCTGTTGCATCAGTAAATGTCTCTTGAATACCATATTTTTTCTTCTGCACCCTGTGAAGAACAATCCGGTATGTACCCGTTATACTACTCCTGGAATCCTTAATGCTCGCCTGTTTGAAATGCTCATCTTTGATGCCCAAGTCACTGAGAATTGCCCGAGCTTCCTGTTCCTCAGCATTTATCACAGAAGACTCTTGGCTAGGGTTTAAGTTGTATGGCTCCAGAGGGCCTGGAAAATCCTGTCCTGTTAACCACTCGCTACGTTTTATCTCGGCTATAGTCAAGCGATCATGAGGAATATGTCTAAGAATGCTGCGAATGAGGAAAACACAACTGTCGGATACATAAGTTGGCACAGTGTAACTTCCGTCCAGAATACACTTCTTCAGCCTAGCCACAGTTTCCGCTCGGAAAGGCATCAGGCCGGTCACCATAAAATATAACAGAATTCCCATTGCCCAGATGTCAACAAAAGCACCACAGTAGTTCTCGTCTTTAAACAATTCTGGAGCAGCGTAGGGAGGGGACCCACAGAATGTGTTTAACGTATCGCTGGCTCGTGAGATGGTGCTGAAGCCAAAGTCTCCAACTTTGATCCATCTGGGACTGGCATAAAACACATTCTCTGCTTTCAGATCTCTGTGAATGATGTTGTTGTCATGCTGAAATGAAAGAAACAGAAAAAATAATTTATTCAGTGATTAAGTTGTCAAGGGATTATGTAGTACATTTTTCTGATAGTGCGCAATGGTACACAGTACTGGCATCTTTCTCAGGCATCATGTTTCCAGCACTACTATAATAGTCACTTTCTGGTGTATACTTAAACCTCATTAAATATAGATGGAGGAATTTCTAGCCAAGTGGTCTGAGTGCTGGGCTGCCATATAGGAAACGCAGGTTCAATCCTTGCTAAGGGAAGGAGATTGTTTTCTGTTGGAGACAAACCAAAAATTTTAACCTGCACAGTTCATGGCAACTGCACTAACCCCACATGCATAAATCCTCAGGCTAATGAATGCTCTGTTCTCCACCGCCCTAAAAATGGTAAACACGGGCAGTAAAGACAGTTAGCTTTCACAGTCTGATCAGTTTATAGCTAATGCCAAAGTCAGGCAATAATAAAAACAAATAAAACCATAGGTGTACCGCACCCACGTCGGCTCCTGTGACTTCGCCGTTACAAATGCTCTTTTTAATGCTGGGGTGCCGGGTTCGATCCCAGCTGCAGGCAGTTTGACAGCAGGCAGCCTTGTGTTAGTTTAAACAGTAGTATCAAGAGCTCACTGTTCAGCTAGCAATGACAAACTACTGAAAGTAAATTTACCTAGAAAATCCACAATAACCAACAACAACCAAAAAAAAGGCTGGGGTTGATTCTGCAACATCCTGTAAAGTACACACAACAAATTGTGTGTGCGTGTGTGTGTGTGTATGTGTGCGCACAGTGCATGCATGCGTGCCTGTGTGTGCGTGTTGTGTGTGTGTGTGAGTCTTGTCATATATGGTGTGTTATTTGGTACTGAAACTGTTAATTACAATGCCTTAGAATTCCTTGGACAGACAAAAACAGCACCTCAGATGTTCTCATGTTCTGAAAGACGTAAGGGCTGGAAGTCAAGTTATCACAAACATGAGAAATAGTCATCATTTTTGGTCATGTTATGAGAAGAAGGAAACTGGGTCATGTTGTGATCAATGGGAACATGTGTGGGGCAAGAGACAGAGGGATGTGATGCAGGAACTTTCTTGACAGCCTTTTGTCACAGCATGGAGGGATGTTCGACATGAGCTGGTACATTCTGTTGAGGATAGCAGATAGTGTAGAGACGTGATCACCCACTTCAGTCAGCAATGCACCTGATGGTGATAATTTACAATAATTTTCTTGTAATTTTAAACTTTTTTTTTTTTTTTCAAATTAAGTATTCTTGTTTGTTGTCCAGTTCTCTGAGTGTGGAAAAAGACTGGCTGAAACATTTGCTTTTATCTTTTAGATGTTAGTCATTACTCATGGTTCCAGCTTCAATGCAGATGTCCTGTAGCAGCTGACACCACAGATAATTCAGGTGATTTATTAATATCCTACCCTAAACAGGGTAAATCCACAGGTCACAGGACAGCCTAATATTTCAGGGCATGGTGGATAGGCTGCATGTAATCGTGGGACCTAGGCTGCATGCAGTCTTGGGGTAGTTCTAGAGGTTTTGGGGTCGTTAAAAGCATCAAAAAGCCAGGAAACCCAGTCTTACCATCCTCTAAAATGCTTGACTGTCCTATAAAGTCATCTGGGGTAAGATATTAATAAAGAACCAAAACTCCTATCACTTTTCCCACTAAATGCATAAAGCTGCCTTCCAGAGAATCCAACATTGACAGGCCACCACTGGAAATGCACTTCTTTTATCTACATATTTTCCATTGTCACACTTCCTAATAATTTCTTCTCTCATTTATTTTACTACCTTTCATTCCAACCTAAATATGGCACATCATACTGTTTGAGAATCACTGCTCTGGGTTCTTTATTAATATATCCTATCCCAGTTGACGTCACAGGACAGTACAACATTTTAGAGGGTGGTCAGACAGGGTTTACCGACTTTCTGATGCTTTTAACAAAACCAATACATACAGAACTAGCTCTAACCCCAACCCACCTACGTCCCACGAGAGAGTACAGCCTAGGTCCAACGACAGCATGCAGCCCAGGTCCCATGACTGCATGCAGCCTATCTACCACCCCCTGAAATATTAGACTGTCCCATGACCTGCAGATTTTCCCTGTTTGGGGTAGAATATTAATAAAGCCCCCTGTTCTGCATTATAGTAAGTCTCACTTGTGTTCACCATGATAAATCAATACAACAAATTATCTCTAACCATCTGCTCTGGTTTTAAAAGTACAAATTAATTTTGAAAAATTTACTCAAGTCCCAGCTAAATAAGATAGGGAGGACATGAGGCAAGTTGCCTGAGATCACAATTATGACTTGGTGTGATTTTGCTGTCGGCCTATGCTCCACTGGGATACTACAGTTCACCACTAGAATGGCAGTTCTTTTATCTCTCTCTCTCTCTCTCTCTCTCTCTCTCTCTCTCTCTCTCTCTTTCTCTCTCTCTCTCTCTCTTTCTCTCTCTCTCTCTCTCTCTCTCTCTCTCTCTCTCTCTCTCTCTCTCTCTCTCTCTCTCTCTATATATATAAATATATATATTTAACATCTTTCAACTATCAAATGCCCTAATCCTAGCTTCCATCATTTATTTTTTCAAACTTTTCAATCCTTCCTAACATAATAAGTATGGCATACTATACAATTTGAGAATCACTGCTCTGTCTATAGTATGCAGTCACTTCTGTTCATTACAATGTGAAATCAATACTGCATTTAAACTTGACAACTGTTTGAAGAACACTCACCTTATCTTGTGTACAGTAAATTTATTAACTACTGGTGACCAGCAAATGTGTACTGAGATAATTATGGCACCTCTTACATGCCAATGGCATGAGATTGACAGTGATAAAGATGGTTAATGAGACAGTACTAGAATGAGAGAGGATGAGTTAACAAAAGTAAACTACACTTTACAACATAATTCTGTTTGTCATGTCAGTAGCAGAGAAAGTTAGTTCTGTCAGTAGCAGATGGAGTTGGTTATATCAATAAGAGAGAGAGCTAGTTATGTCAGTAGCAGAGAAAGTTAGTTCTGTCAGTAGCAGATGGAGTTGGTTATATCAATAAGAGAGAGAGCTAGTTATGTCAGTAGCAGAGAAAGTTAGTTCTGTCAGTAGCAGATGGAGTTGGTTATATCAATAAGAGAGAGAGCTAGTTATGTCAGTAGCAGAGAAAGTTAGTTCTGTCAGTAGCAGATGGAGTTGGTTATATCAATAAGAGAGAGAGCTAGTTATGTCAGTAGCAGAGAAAGTTAGTTCTGTCAGTAGCAGATGGAGTTGGTTATTTCAATAAGAGAGAGAGCTAGTTATGTCAGTAGCAGAGAAAGTTAGTTCTGTCAGTAGCAGATAGAGTTGGTTATATCAATAAGAGAGAGAGCTAGTTATGTCAGTAGCAGAGAAAGTTAGTTCTGTCAGTAGCAGAGAGAATTGATGCAGTTTCGATAGGAGAGAGAGCTAGTTATGTCAGTAGCAGAGAAAGTTAGTTATGTCAGCAGCAGAGAGAATTGATGCAGTTTCGATAGGAGAGAGAGCTAGTTATGTCAATAGCAGAGAGAATTGATTATTTCGATAGGAGACAGAACTAGTTATGTCAGTAGCAGAGAAAGTTAGTTCTGTCATTAGCAGATAGAGTTGGTTATTTCGATAGGAGAGAGAGCTAGTTATGTCAGTAGCAGAGAGAATTGATGCAGTTTCGATAGGAGAGAGAGCTAGTTATGTCAATAGCAGAGAGAATTGATTATTTCGATAGGAGACAGAACTAGTTATGTCAGTAGCAAAGAAAGTTAGTTCTGTCAGTAGCAGATAGAGTTGGTTATTTCAATAGGAGAGAGAGCTAGTTATGTCAGTAGTAGAGAGAATTGATTTTTTTCGATAGGAGACAGAACTAGTTATGTCAGTAGCAGAGAAAGTTAGTGCTGTCAGTAGCAGATAGAGTTGGTTTTTTCGATTGGAGAGAGAGCTAGTTATGTCAGAGCAGAGAGAATTGATTATTTCGATAGGAGACAGAACTAGTTATGTCAGTAGGAGGGAGTATAATTTATGTCTGTGACAGATAGACTTGCTTATATCAGTTGTAGATAGAGTTGGTTAGGTCAGTATCACGCCCGTGTGTCACCGGGGCCCTCACAGGAAGCAAAGAATAGTGACACTGCACCCTACCAGGCATGTTGTAAGAGGTGACCAAGGGTAGGGTTGGGCTTGAGGTTGGCTACCTCATCCTGTAAAAACCATAGCCACAAAAACCAACCAACCATGGATAAGTCAAAAAGAGAAGCAAATAAAATCCAGCCAACCAAGATGAGGGGAGGCTCTTCAAATAGAAGAAGTATGACACGGTGTGAAGAAAGCCGTAAGGAGTCCGGATCGTTGACTCACCTCCTCTCAGCTAGGAAAACCTCTAGAATTGGCACCTGGAATGTTAGCACTCTCTATGATATAGGAAGAACAATGGAAGTAGCAAAGGAAATGAAACATTATAGAATTAGTATTTTGGGGTTATGTGAAACTAGATGGACTGGGGCAGGGAAAAGTATTCTTAATTCAGGAGAAACTATTTTGTTCTCAGGACATACAGAGGAAAATTCGCCGCACAGTGAAGGAGTGGCTCTGATACTATCAAAAGAAGCAGACAGGGCACTAATAGATGACAAAAAACAGCTTGATGATCTGGACTTCGCTGATGATCTGGACTTCGCTGATGATATTGCTCTTCTGTCCCATTCACGGAATCAGATGCAAGATAAATTAAATATACTTAATGCGAGATCACAGCAGCTTGGTCTGAAAATCCATAAAGGAAAGACAAAGATAATGAGAATAAATTAGGCAAATAGTAATGTGGTTTCTCTTAATGGCACCCCACTCCAAGACGTGGAGTCGTACACCTATTTAGGCAGTAATGTAGATAAAGATGGAGGAACTGATAGAGATATTAAAATAAGAATACAAAAGGCAAGAGGGGCTTTCATAGCACTAGGGAATTTGTGGAGGTCAAAAGAAATTAAAAGAAATACTAAACTAAAAATATTCTAATGTCAAATCAGTGCTATTGTATGGGGTGGAAACATGGAGAACAACCAAGGCAATTACTAATAAATTACAGACATTCATTAACTGGTGCCTGCGCAGAATAGAGGGAATAAAATGGTATGATAGAATAACTAATGTAGAACTTTGGGAGAGAACTAAACAGGCTCCAGAGGATCAGGAGGTGAGGAAAAGACGCTGGCGTTGGATAGGGCACACTGAGAAAACAGGAGAACAGCATAACTAGAATGTCTTTGCATTGGAACCCACAGGGGCATAGGAATAAAGGAAGGCCAAAAAAACACATGGAGAAGAGAGCTGGAGAATGAGGTTAGAAAGATTGGGAGGACATGGGGAGAGCTCCATGCAATGGCTAAGGATAGAATGACTTGGCGTGAGTTGGTTGGCCTTTGCTTCATTGGGGGATAGAAAGGCAGAAGAAGAAGAAGGTCAGTATCAAATAGAGTTGGTTATGTCACTAGCAAAGCAGACAGTCTTGCTAATGTCATCAACAGATAAGAGCTGGTTATGGCAGTAGCAGATATAGTTGGTTATGTCAGTAAAAGATAAGAGCTGGTTTTGTTGGTATAAGAGAGAGATAGTTATGTCAGAAGGAAACAGTATTATTTATGTCAGTAGCAGACATAGTTGGTTATATCAGTAGCAGATAGAGTTGATTATGTTGGTAGCGGAGAAAGTTGGTTAAGTCAGCAGCAGTTAGAGTTGGTTATGTCAGTAGCAGACAAAGTTGGTTATGTCAGTAGCAGATATAATTGGTTATGCCAGTACTAGAGAGAAATAGCCATGTTAGTAGGAGAGACAGCTAGTTATGTTAGCAGGAGAAAGTATTATTTATGTAAGTACCAGAGAGTGTTGGTAATGCCAGCAGCAGATAGAGTTGCTTATATTAGTACAAGACAGAATTAGTTACATCAGTAGGAAAGTATTATTTATGTCAATACCAGAGAGTATATAATTTTTTTCAATATTAATTACCCACTAAGCATTTTTTTTTAAATTACTACTCATTAGGCATATATTTTTTTAAACTTATTATGACCACCCATCAGGCATATACTTTAAAAAAAAGTTATTATAGCAGTTCATAAAGCATATTTTTTTAAAATTAAAACTACCCATTAAGCAGTTTAAAACTAATTAGAACTACCCATTTAGCATATATTTTAAAAAAACTGATTATAACTACCGATTATTTTTGTGTGTGGGGGGTGGGAGGGGGGGGGGGGAATTACAACTGTCAATTAGGCATTTAAAAACTAATTATAATTACCCACTAAGCATACATGTTTCTGAAAACTAATTATAACTATCCATTAACTTGTTCAGTCCCAAGTAACGCCTGGTCTGGGAGTGGTTCTCTTCCTTGATGTCAACTGGGAGCACAATTTTAATTTTAAACTTTAGTCACAACATATGAGAAAACTCTGGCTACCCCAATAGTAATTATCAATGTTTGTACATACACATGATTTTATCCCCGTGGTTATTTCTCGACTGTGGTATGTCATGTGAAATCCCTGGTACCGACATAGTTGAGCTTTTAATTTTTTTTTATTAACTAATACAACTACCCATACCATGTGCTCCACCGCAGCAACAAGCTGTGCAAATATACACTTAGCATCCGCCTCCGGAAGGCGGCCCTCATTGGAAATCTTGGTAAACAATTCTCCGCCACCAGCAAACTCCATGATGATATGTAGCTTTGCTAGGGTCTCCACTACTTCATACAGACGTATAATGTTTGGATGGTGAAGCCTTTCCATGGACGTGATCTCACGGGACAAGAGACGCTGGGTCTTTTGGTCCAGTTTTGTTTTATCTAATATTTTGATTGCTACTTTATCTGCAGAGGAAACAAAATAAAGTACATTTAGTATACCATAATATTAATAAAATAAATAAGTAAAGGACCCTTTTCCACGCCTTTAGGTGTATAGGGTATATAGGGCTAAACCTATATTTTTATAGACCAATCGGCACAATATGGGTGATGTGGGCAGCATCATGCCGGCCGCCTTTCCTTCCCGGGTCTGCACCAGATACCCATTCAAGGCTAGGTCGACCTGGGAGTCAAGGCCATATTTGAAAAACGTCCGGCTTCGCTAGGGAGAGAACCCATGAGTTTCCGATCCGATGCGAGCGTCTAGCCGCTCGGCCACGGCGACTCCCACCATAACATTACCCGGTGCTTTATTAATATCCTACCCCAAACAGGGGAAATCCACAGGTCACAGGACAGCCTAATATTTCAGGGGGTGGTAGATAGGCTGCCTGCAGCCATGGGACCTAGGTTGCATGCAGTCGTGGGACCTAGGCTGCACTCTCTCGCGGGACGTAGGTGGATTGAGATTACAGCAAGTTCTAGATGTTTTCGGGGTCGTTAAAAGCATCAGAAAACCGGGAAACCCAGTCTTACCACCCTCTACAATGTTGGACTGTCCTGTGATGTCATCTGGGCTAGATTATTAATAAAGAACCCATTACCCTTTTCCCACAAGAAATTTTCTCCAAAATAATTCCTTTGTCCCCTCTCTAGAGAGGCTCAGTGTATTATTTTATTCAGTCCTCAGCAATGCCTGATCTGTTAACGAATCTACACCTTGACTCCCCGCCATGGCAAAATGCTCTCCTGTTTTGTGTGTTTGTGTGGTCAGAACATACTGAAGAAATTTGGCTTTCCAAAATGATCACTACCATTGTATAAATTGCCACTTTGATAGTAAAGTATCCACAATTTTTCATTATCCTTTTGGAATCACTTGTGAAACCTTTTTGTATCTAAAGAGGTCAATTCAGACTGAGGACATGGCACCACAGATTTTGCCAACATATGTTTAAGTTCTTCGGTATCGGAAACACAGAGATGCGACCCTGTGCAATGACTCTCTTAGGCTCTAATCGCATGCAGCCTTCAGAGGCACACTGACAGATAGTTCATCATAATCTTGAACATGAAGCAAGAAACATTGGAAACGCCACACAGCCAATCAGATATGAAACGTTTATTGATTTCAACAACTGTTTCCTCTGTCAATGCACTGGAGGGAAAAACATACAGGTCAGACCAGATCGGCCACATACTAAGCATTAGTAAACTGAACGTTACTTTCACCAGATGACCAAACAGAGCACTTCTAACTGAGTCACTTCAAGAGCTTCAAGACGTACACTTGAGTAGAAACACTCATCTTGCAGCAGACACCAACTCAACCACTGAATAGTCAGGTGTTTTTTTTGCCCAGTCAGCTGCCCGATCTAGCACTCACGTTCTCTGAAGATTCACTCACTTTTCATTCTCCAACACTGAAAACAAGATTAAAACTTCATTCCAGGTTTAAATAGCATGTTTCCTTCTAGTGTTTTTTAATGTTTCGCATATGATTCATGCTTTCCTCATCTGGCACACATTCAGCCAACTTGCACATGTCTCAAGTAATTCATTACTCGATTCTAAACCTGCAAACATTATACTTTGTAACTGATACCATTTAACCAAACTCACGAACATAATTTATGCTTAGCATTTAACATTATTTACAAATGAGAATATCTATTAAAAATGAGAAAATGCCTCACTAAACCCTGCAACATGACACCTGACGATACAGAGCATGTACTCCAACACTGTCGACTCTATTTCTAACAGAGAGGCCACCTGGCATGTTCCAGTCTTTAAAAAAAAGCTGTACAGTATACGGAGAGATTTTGACTGCATGATAGCTTTCATTAAGGCTGAACGCCACCCAGATATAAGGTTTTTCTAAGAGAAAGTCGACGATCATAGAAGAAGAAAATGAAGAAGAAGAAGAAGAAGAAGAAGAAGAAGAAGAAGAAGAAGAAGAAGAAGAAGAAGAAGAAGAAGAAGAAGAAGAAGAAGAAGAAGAAGAAGAAGAAGAAGAAGAAGAAGAAGAAGAAGAAGAAGAAGAAGAAGAAAGAAAAAGAAGAAGAAGAAGAAGAAGAAGAAGAAGAGGAAGAGAAACAAGAAGAAGAGGAAGAAGACGAAGACGGCGTATTGGACATATTTTGTCAGACGTATTTCTATCAGTATTCAATGAGGTGCTGTGATCAACATCACGTCGGCCGCCTATACTTCTCAGGACTCTACCTAGTACCGATTTTAGTCAAAAACGAAACAGGAGCCTAAGTCATGTTTTAAAAAAAAAAAAAAATCTGAAAAAAAAAAAAAACAATCATAATATAGTGAATGACTAAAATAACTGCTATTAAATTAGAACATGAATCCGGACTAAAGCTTTAGCACGAAATGCGTCCTGTGTGTACGTGAGCGTATGAGCTTGCTACCGCGCGCTTGCGTGCGTGCGTGTGCGTGCGTGCGTGTGCGTGGTAGGGATGAGATGTTCTAACAGCCTGCCGCGGAAAGTTATAATCATTGATCGCTATAGATCCGTGTCGGTAATGAACACACAGATGTAAATCACGCATGTGAATCCAATAACGAGATTGCCGAGGCATCTGAGATCAAGTGTTGGCATATCCTGTACACTGATGCTGATGTTTGAGTGCTTGCTTGAGTGAACCGTGGCTTCATTATTTAAAATATAGCCACCACGCTTCGCAAAGTTCATAACAGATAGTGCTCTCTTTCTCTCTCTCTTACTCTCTCCCTCTCTTTATTGCTTTGTCTCTGGCTATTCTCTCTTTTATCTTCTCTCCCTCTCTCCTATCTCCTTCCCTTCCTCCCTCTGCCTTCCTTACTCTCTCTCCGAACTCTTTACCTCACTCTTCTTTCTCTCTCTACAATCACTCCCTTTATTTCTTTGTCCGTCTCCTCTCACTGCCTCTTTCTCTTATCTCTCTCTCCCCCCCCCCCCCCATCTCCTATCTCTTTCCCTCCCTCCCTCTTAACTCTACCCCTCTCGCCCTCTCTCTCTCTCTCTGTCCTATCTCTCTCCATATCCCACCTTCTCTCATTTTGGATGTCCGGCTGTGAGCAGCGACTGGAAAAAAATGAAAGTACCTGTTGCCACACTTTGTACTTACTAGTTGAGTATCCTATACAGGGCGTTGCAGAACCAACTCCAGCATTTCTGTGGTTGCTTGGTCCTTCTACGCAATTTTACGTTCATTTTTTTTTTCTCCATTTACACCTGTTCGGTCGGTTTTCGTTACCACTATCGAAATCACCGAAAGGTGGTCCGCTGCCAAATCGCCTGCAGCTGAAATCAAACCAGCCAACTCGGAATTACGAAGTAAGCACGCTAGCAACGCCATAGCCATAGACACTGACTAACAATTACTAGGCATGTGGTAAAGTAAAGGACCTTTTTCAAGTCAACGGAAAGTGAGGCATATGGTTGCAGACACATAGTTTTATGGAAGAATATTGCTCTCGATGGCTGAGGTCGTCATTTTCACAACGAGCCCCTTTACTCCTCAAGACATTTCCTGGTATCCGTGTTAAGCTACGTCGACCTTTGAGGCAAAGTGAACTATTCTGCTTAAGGCGGATTCGAACCTGAGACTCTGGGTACAGCACCCAGCCTCACATTTAACGGCGCCTAGCCACCACGCTGTGTGAGAGTACACGAGACAGAAGGTTTTCGACATACACGATTGCCAATGCCACTGACTATAAGAAGAAGAAGTTTTTTGTGGAGCCTTCATGGCAACTGCCTAATTTGCCCCTGGATTCAAACATTACTTTTGATGTTTTAAACAACGGATTAACATCATGGCACACGGGTAGTAACCCATAAGTGCTTCGTTGTTCCTCTAACTCAAGTCTGAGATCGAAGAAGCTTAGCCAGTGCACAGGCTCTGTAGCACCGGCGAGGATCCTGAAATACTTTGGATAGGTTTTCAACTCCACATTTTGCCCGAGCAGCGCCGTTAAGCTACTCTTTTCGATGTCCAACTACCAAGGTTTTTTTTTACGTGCGCAACAATGCACACGGGCGTCCGATCTCACTACCCAGAGACCAGGGGGAATTACTAGAAGTCCAAGTCCACGTGAAAAAAAAAACCCAGCCCTTACCAGGGATTGAACTTGGAACCTCTAGCACTCGAGGCGGACATCATGTCTCGTGACCAACGTTCTCTAGACAGTACATGGTCATAATTGGCCACTGCATGTAAAAAGACAGTAATTTATATTTTCCCGTTATTGGAACCTTTCGTCTTTCCAGATGATAGTGTTATATTCTGCAACAAGAAGGCATGTGAGTCCAATCTCATGGCGAGTGTGACTGTCAAGACCGGCTCGCGCTAAGAAATGTCTTCTACAGTTGCAGCATGGGATTTCAGGACCTGGCTGTTGCGTGAATTTAACGTACTTCTGCTGAAACGCTCAGATCTCAACCTATCAGCAATCATGTTCTCCTGCATCCCCCTTCTCTTCCTGATTTTCTCCCTCTATGGAACTCGGCCTATTGCATCCTGTTCCAATGAACACACCTCAATACCTGTAATATTCATGTCCAGCAGTGTCTAGAAATACACGGATCTTGCGTGAAAAACAGATAGAATCAATCGTGTTATTAACTGTCTGTCCGTATAGACAGGACATAGTCCTTAATGTTATATCGCAGCAGGTACTCAGTTCTGTTCCCCAACCCGTAATGAATATATGTATTAATGCAAACTACAAAAACACCAACAAAAGATGTACATTTTAAGCCGTTGGGTATAATGGCACCCATCAATGGAGCGCTGCAGGTCTGCGAGTTTATAGAGAATAGACCCGACTACACAGAGTAGTATTGATCGATCTTCATATGTCGATTAATTGAATGTACATTATGTCCCGCCTATAGTAGGCCAGTTGCCAGGTCTGCGCACACACCGACGTCCTTTGTTATGTGTATACTTTGGCCACAACGTATA